ATTTCATGGAACATAGAACAGAACACACAGGAACAGGCCTTTCAGCCCACAATGTCTGTGCCGACCATGATGCTATTCTAAGCTAATTCCTCCTGCCTGTTCATATGTCTGTCTTCAACTTTGCTGTCATATCTATTTCTACCACCTCCCTGACTGCATGTTCCAGGCATCTGTTACCCTCTGTATTTAAGAAGAAATCCTTTAAACTTTTCCCTCTCACCTTAAAACTATGCCCCCTAGTATTTGGCATTTCCACCCTGGGAAAGAGACTCCAACGATCCACCCTATCCAGGTCTCTCATAATTTCATATACTTCTATCAGGTTGCCCCTCAGCCTACCATGTTCTAGTGAAAACAATCCACGTTTGTCCAACCTCTTGTAATAGCTAATACACTCCAATCCAAGCAACATTCTGGTAAACCTCTTCTGCACCCTCTTCAAAGTCTCCACAGCCTTCCTATAGTGTGGTGACCAGAACTGCGCACAATACTTTCCAGCCTGACCAAAGTCTTGCACATTTACAACATGACTGGCTGACTTTTATACTCAAATACCTCAACCAATAAAGCCAAGCATGCTGTATACCTTCTTTACCACCTTATCCACTTGTGTTGTCACTTTCAGGAAGCTATGGACCTGTACCCCAAGATCCCACTGTACTTCAATGCTCCTAAGGATTCTGCTAGTTACAGTATAGTTTCCTTTTGCATTTGATCTCCCAAAATGCATCACCTCACACTTATCTGGATTAAACTCCTATAATCTGCTATTTCTGCACCCAGCTTTCGAGCTGATCTATATCCTGGCTGCATTCTTTGATATTCTTCCTCACTATGCACAACTTCACCAATTTTTGAGTCATCTGCAAACTTATTAATCAGACCACTGATATTTTTACCCAAATCATTTATGAGTCCTAGTACTGATCCTTATGGAACACCAGTGGTCACAGACCTCCAGCCAAAAATACATCCCTCCACAACTACCCTCTGTCTTCTATGGCCAAGCAAATTTTGTATCCAACTTGCTAACTCACCATGGATTCCATGCAATTTGATCTTCTGGACCAGCCTACCATGAGGGACCTTTTCAAATGCTTTAGTAAAGTCCATGTGGACAACATCCATTGCCTTACCTTCATCAATCATCTTCATCACTTGCTCAAAAAACTCAATCAAGTTTGTGAGACAAGAGCGCCCCTGCACAAAAGCATGTTGACTATCCCTAATAAGTCCATTCTTCTCCAAATGCAAATAAATCCTGTCCCTCAGAATCTTCTCCAGTAGTTTCCCTATGATTGATTTAAAGCTCACTGGGCTGTAATTTCCTGGATTATGTCTGTTGCCCCTCTTAAACAAAGGAACAACATTGGCTACTCTCCAGTCTTCTGGGACCTTGTCTGTCGCTAATGAAGATACAAATATTTCTATCAAGGCCCCAGCAATCTCCTCCTTTGGCTCCTTCAGTAGCCTGGAATAGATCCCATCAGGACCTGGGGATTTATCTACTTGGCCACAGTCCCTCCTCTTGATCCCATGAGCCTCAGCGAATAGGATCACATGACCCAAGTCAAATTCCTATCGTAGGCAAGCATCTGAGTCTGAGATAGTAAGCCCAGAATCCCTAACCCCTTTACTATACAAACATCCTTAATTAGGTACTTTATAACAACGTTAACTTTTCGTACATGGAAAACTTCAAACATTGCAAAAGTTGAGGCAAAATATGTCATAACCTTAAATGTCTTCTCAAATACAATCCAAATTTCAAACATTATTAAAAACAAAAATACAAACAGATTCATACCACCCTTTTTGGGAATTGCAGTTGTATACAAAAGCATCTTAACTATACACATTGAGGTCATTGGTTGAACATTATCTTAATATTTGGTGTCTTTTGTAATTCTTTCTTCCACTGATGAAATTTTAATTACGGTGTGACCAGGATAGGCCCAAAGAATACCATGTTCACATTTGGCCTTCGTGTTTTAATAAAAAACTAAAAGTACCTGTTGACTAAACACTATTTTCTTTTTATAGGCAACTGACACTTGAACTACAGAGAATAACATTCTCCTTTTATGTTTAGCACCCATCACATTCTGCATGCAACTGCAGTTCTTTTAGCAAACAGTCTGTAGTTATTCCAAGCTTCCAATGGCTTCCCCTAACCCAATTTTATCATGTGATAACCTGTCTTAAAGCATCTTCCTCAGTGTTTGAAAACCTCTTAAATCTTCCACCAGCCTGTTACAATAATTCATATTCCCTCTGGCCATGCCAGAATAAATCTTCTGGAATCCTTAGAAGATGCAGAATGCCTCTTCGATTCATGCTCATCTTCCTCCCACATTCAGCTGTGGTAACTCATAATACCAAGAAGCTTTTCTTTCTGCTGACTACACTGAGCTTCCACTGTCTATCTGTGATTTAAAGCTACATTCCCCAAACATAATCTTTAAAACTCACAATTGTCGCAACTTACTGATTTTAAACTGTAGAAGGTTTAAGTCTTTTTAACTAATCAAAGAACTATTTTTTTTTTAAAACTTTCCTGTTCAATGGCCACTTACAATAGTTCTCATGGGTTTTGGTTAATCTTCCCCTGATATTATCCAATAAAACGATCGAACCGTTAGACAAACTCCAAGGCAAAAAAGTTTTTTAAATTCAGTAGGACAGTTTGTGGATATTAATGATGATATGAAACCATTTACATTGCAGATTTCAAAACTATAAACAGTACCAACAACACTTCTTCTCTCCTTTTTAGTTTGGTACAAAGCAACATTAAGTAAACAATGTACAGAATTGAAGGATGTGAAAAGGCTGTTTGGGCTGTCAAGCCCCTTTCTCTCCATAGACAGTGTATAATTTGATCTGCCATGATATCCAGCCAACCTGCTTAAACTTTGGAGAGTGGGCATCAACTTCTAAGAGCCCAGTAAGAGATGAAGCCCAGTTGAGTTTCTCAACAATTTCCAAAAACAATTGAGTGACGGTCCAGGCTATTAATTCACTTGACACTGAGCAGTTCACACGAATTGTATTCCATTCGTGACTTATCCTTGATTTCAACAGTTGTATTCTACGCAGTATTTGATCATCCGTGTCTGTAATTATCATTCCATCCTGGATTTGAATGAATTTATTTAGTTGTTTTATTTGAGTATTAATCCAAATATTAATCTATTGTCTATAACGCATGTTTAGTACAATGGGAGGATAAAGGGTTCTGATTTGCTGTCTTACATGAAACCAGTTGAATCTAAACAAGTCTCTTCAAGTTCTCCATTCCCAGTCCAGGTTAAACAATACATGTTTCTTTTGCAGCAAATACGGAGGAAACAACAAATTATTTCAGTTTTTAATTAGTGTGATATTGCAAGGTTTTGTAATGTTGTGGTTGTTTTCTGAATTATTGCCCATTTTGCTTAACAGCAGTAAAATCCTCTTCCATTACACTGTGCTTTTTTTTTATTCATTCATGAGAGCAGCTCTGGCCAGGCCAGCATCAATTTCCCATCCTTAAATGCCCAGTCAACCACATTGCTGAATCTGGAGTCACATGTAGGCTAGACCAGGTAAGGGTGGCAGTTTCCTTCCTGAATGGGCATTAGTGAAGCAAATGGGTTTTTCCTGACAGTCGACAATGCATTCATTGTCATCATTAGACTCTTTAATTCCAGAGTTTTATTGAATTCAAATTCCACCATTTGCCATGGCAGGATTCAAACCTGAGTTCCCGGAACATGACTTGGGTCTCTGAATTAACAGTCCTATGATACTACCGTTAGGCCATCGCCTCCCCATAACAGCTCATGATGCTGCAAATTTGATCTACATAAACCTGAGCTCATCTAAAACTCTACTACCCATATCCTAAATTGTACCAAATGCCACTCACCCATCACTCTTCTGCTCACTGTAATGGCTCCTGGTTAAAAAAATGCCTTGATTTTAAATGTCCCATTCTTGTTTTCAAATACCTCCATGGCCACTGTTCTCTAGTTCTCTAATCCCTTTCAGTCTTACGGCTTTTCCGAGTTTTCTGTGTTACTTCAACTCGGGCCTCTTGACCATCCCTGATTAACGTCACTGCACATTGGCAACAGTGACTTAAGCCCCTTCTGTCCTACATTCTGTAATTCTGACCCTGAACCTTGGCTTTTCTCTCCTCCTTTGAGACACTCAAGTTTTGACTAGATTCTAATCAAATCTCCTCATACTTCCTGTGTGGTTTGGTGCTGAATTTTGATTTATAGCACTATTGTGAATCATCATGGGCCACCATTATATTTTTAAACTTACATAAGTTATTACTATTTCCATACTTAAGACTTATCTTTAATTCCGTCTTGTATTCTGCAACAAAAACAGTTCTGTGAGTTTCCTTGTCAGTAACTAGTCTCACTATTTGTTTCTGCGCTCTCACAAATGCATGAGTATCCTTATAGGGTGAGGGGGGAACGTAAATAAGTTAATTAATCTGTTTAATTTATCATGAAATATCCTCAATACATATTTTTGCCCTTGGTGTTCTCTGCATACGGTTGCCTGTGACTTGACACAGTTAGTAATTGGTCAATAATTGCACTCGTGTTCTGTTGTTTTTACTCTGCTAATAGGCACTAATTCACTGTATAAACTTCTCATATCAGTGATTTGGAACAGACAGTTACTAAGCACAACAATAGCCTGCTTCACTCTGGGGAAGCAGTTGCTGGTCGAACCTGCCCAATAATACTTATCCTGTTGACTGCTGACAAAATAACTGTTGGAAGCATGCTCCTAAATTGTTCATAATTTTGGTGGCATTTGGCTCCGCTAAAGCAATTTCTGTAAAATGTGTCTCAGCCATAAAAACAACTGCTGTGAAATGTTACTTGTATGCTCTGAGATAGAAATAATATTCTGAGGGAAATACAATGTATTTGTGTCCAAATTATTACTGATTCTTTACAGAGGTACCACTCAAACCTTTTCTTTGTATCTAGAATGGAGTCCACTGAGAAATGTGAAGTAGTAATTCAGCATTTTAATGGAAAATACCTGAAAATGCCACCAGGTGTACCAGGTATGATCTTTTTTATTACTTGTTATTGATAAATCAGAAAAATGGAGTTAATTGGGAATTGTGGATGGGTGTGCAAAAGTAGTCAAAGGGGTCAGATAATTTGAACAGCAAGACTGAAACTTGAATGGTTCATTGTTCCCTTAACTTAAGCAGAGTTTGTTTTCATTATAATCTTGCTCATCCACTCATTTTATCCAATATATTGTATATTAATAGGAGCTATATCATTCCTAATTGTAGAGATTGTATCAGACTTGCTGCATTTATCTTGTCTGATCATGTTTGATGACATATAACTTCTGAATTAAATCTGTGATGTTAGAGGATAAAGTTGGCAGTGACACAGACTGGATAATACAAGCAGAATTTTGTCACCGTTGAAAATATTTTCCCATCTTGGAAGAATGGAACTGGAGTAGGCCTTCAGCCCATTGACCTTGCCCCACAATTCTAGAGCATAGCTGACAAGAGTGGGCCCAGTCCTTGATGGTCTACGAGCCGGATTGCCCAATTTTCTAAGAAAAGGCCCACTCGGAGGCTGTTGCTGTGAGTCTGGTCCAAGTTAGGATATCAAGTGCATTCCTTTAGACCCAGCCAAGAGGCCAACACTGCTACCAGGGAGGCCACTCCATGTGTCAGCATGCAAGAATGGAAGCCCATCCACCAAGCTGAGCTCACCAGGCAGTCTCCCCATGGGGCAGAGGCTTGCCAACAGCCCACAACTCTGGAACGTGCCAGTGGAGGTGGGAAGAGGCCATTGATTTGTCACCTAAATGGGTCAATTGCTTCTTGGTGGAAGGGCTATCCTTTACCTCCACCATCTTTGGTTAAAATGCCAAGGCAGTGGGAAGTTGATGTTCACACCAATGGACCAATTTATAGGCTCCCTGTGCAAACTGATCTATCCAAAGAAGGCTGGAATTTTCCAACCTTCTTACATATAAACATAATGAGGTAGGAGCAGGAATTGGCTATTTGGCCTTTCAAGTCTGCTGTGCCGTTTAATAAGATCATCACTGCTCTGATGTTCAGAATGTCCTGTAGATATGTTTATTTAATCTGTTTTATTCCCATTTATATAACCACAGCATAAGAGAGACAAAAAACCACCACATACTAATCATTCTCTCATTTTGACATAATTTTAGAATCAGTACATTTCTTTCCATTAAAATGCTTTACCAATAAGCAGCTGCCTAGACTGGCATTTTCTCATGTGTAGTTCCAGGGATTTATTGTTAATTGAGGGTGCAATACCTACTTCTGATTGCCTGAAATAGAATTTCTGTTCTTACTCTGCACTGGAATCAAGCTTTCCGGGTTGGGTCAAGTGACAAGGGTTTACGATGTACTTGTGTATGAACCAGGTCATTTTAACACTCGTGCCTTGTCATCTGAATAGGTTGCCCACCTTGTTGTGCCAGGAAATCAGTGTCGCTTCATTTTCTGCTGGCTTTCCAAATGCATAGTCTTTGTGTGTTTACATTAAAATGGCAGTTGGTTCTTTATTGCAAAAAAGGTTCTTTTGCATGTTTCCATTGTACTGCAGTTGACTCAGGTGAGCACTTCAGCCTTTTAAACAAACTGTACCATTAAAATGAAGGCTGGTAGGAGTGTTTTGCTACTGTTGTGATGAATACTTTTCTAAGCTTTTAACTACCTTTTGACCATTTTCACCAGGTAAATGGTTAAAATTGCTCCTTTAGAATATGTGTGGTGAGATGGGTAATATTTTTTGTACTACACTGTTTAGTGTGTGAATATCTGTGTGTGAGATGTATGGATTTTTTTAAATCCTATTTTATCAATTGAAAGAAAGTCACACATACTTGGAGGCCACATAACTATCAAGACTGTTGAAGCATGTAGGTACCAGCTTTTGATAATTTGTATGACTTGAAAACTGATAGTTTTTTGACATATTTATTCTTGATTAATGAAAATTTTGTTGTCGATGATTTTGCATTTGTTCCTCTCCAGGCAACATAAATGTATCACCTTTTTTGTAATTTCAAAGAACTATTAGAGTGCTAAATTACATGCACAGTTTACATCTATTGCTTGACATTCCAAATGGGCAGTGAGGAATATTTGCTGTTATCTTCCCTGCAATCCTATTACACTAGTATTGCCAAAATAGATATTTTATCAGTTGGGTAAGTATTCTGGATAAGTTGAAGATTACTGAGTTTTAAAAGCCCTGCTCATTTTGGGGCACATCTACTGAATTTGCAGGTCGAGAAGGTTAAAGTCAAACACATTTCTTCGTAAATTATTGCATTAGGACTGGGAGGATTGAAAACTCACTCAGTTGTATCATTAGCCATTTTCTTGGGAGTTTGCAAGACAGATAAGCACCTAGATTCAAATGTACAAACCACAAAACTATGAAGCGAGATCTATTGAGTGGTGCTTTCCAACCCGGCAAGAGCCATTGTTTTTCCTGATGCAAATATTGAAGGAGGATGTCGTGTAGGTGACTGTAGGTATTGGATCTTTTTCTATCCTAGACTCAGCCCTGTGCTCGACGGGTAATAACACGGCTCTTTTGAGTAAGTTACCATAACTTGTGAAAGGTCTGGCACTTTTTCCACTTTTCGAAAGATAATTACAAAAGCTGTATAAAACGTGAGCAAACTCGCAAGGGCAGACATTTGTGTGTGCTTTTTCTACATTGAGAGAAAGGTAAGGGCTGAATGTGTTGGGAATGTGTGCCTGTGCTCTTCATGAGCAGGGGGTGAACCCTCCTCAGCAGGTGAGTAGAAAGAAGTCTATCCAGGAAGATACTGAAGATTGACAGCGTAAAGTGTATGTGAACCCTTCAGTGCACATCATGCATGTGATGGTGAAGTTGGCATGTCAGTGTGACGTGGCTGTACCATGGCAGATTTTTAGACTAAGTGATGGCCCTACGAGTGTGATGTAGCAGTGAAAGGGTGGTGAGACTTACTGTTGCGCAGGGCAGGAGATCATTAATTCTCTTTCTGCATTGTGTTCCACTGACAAGTGGCAAGTAGCAGCGCAACGTGCGGGCTCCTCAGCACAGGAGCACATCTACTCTGTCCGCTTTGATTTTTCTCTTTCTGTGCTTTTCTTTCTTAACATTTCCATTTATTGTGGTACCTTACCTTCTTTGAAAGACTTCAGTGGATGGCAGTATTCGCCCGGCCCAGGCCCAGCGACAAAGTGGCTTCCAGTGGCCCGAAATGGCGGTATAGGCTTGGCACTTGGCACAGTAGTCTCCCGGTGTGGCAGTGTTGTCCAGGAGGGGTGGTTGCGGCCTGGGTGGTATTCTTCTCCTGGTGTGGAGGTCTCATCCCATTGTGGGAGTCTTCTTCGGTGACTTCTGGATATTCCAGCAGCCTGGCATGAAAGACTAGTCCCGGTGTGGAGGTCTTGTCTTGGTATGGGGGTGGGGGTGAGGTCTCGGCCTAGCTCTGTGTGGTGGTTTCGGTCCAGTTTTCCAGTGTACCCTGAACCCAAGAGTCGTTAATTGAACTGTGATGAACTTTTATTCATTTTTCTTCTTATTTATGACTTCTGCCATTAGTTTAGGTGCCTCGGTAGGGCAACGTATAAAACTTTTCACTTTTTTCTTTGTAAAAATACATGTGACAATAAATTGCTGTTCTGTTATAATATTTGTACCACACAATGCTGGGCAATGTCCACGTCTGACAGGAGAAAATCAAATCACTGTACCTTGCCTCTTGTCAGCCCTAGCCTGGATATTGTCCAGATCTTGCTGCTTTTGGCCATAGTTTGTTTCAGTATCTGACGAGTCACAAATGGGGCTGATGATTGAACATTGTGTAATCATCAGTGAATATCCCCACTTCTGACCTTATAATGGAGGGAAGGTCATTGATGAAGCAGATAAAAATAGTTAGTCCTAGAAGACAGCACTGAAGGCGCACAGGAGCACAGCCAAAAATCGAATCGACCTCCCAATTTCTGGCCCCTGTGTGAAATCCGGTCAACGTAGATTAAACTAGAGATACAAGTTGGAATACTTAACTCAATGTAAAATTAGGTGCAAACGTTGCAGTCAACAGAGGAACAGCAAGACAAGAGTAAGAAAGAGAGTGACATCAAAGAGGCAGAACTTTTCAATACTTCCAACAATTAAAAGCCAAAGGAATGAGACGCTACACTTTTAAAAGTACATTTTTAGTGCCCAGTGGCAAGTTGTTTGGAGCAATTAAAACTTCTCGTTGATCAAATTTAATCACACTATGACAGATCAGTCCTAACCTTTTCTGGCATGTTTAGTGGATGTCTGGTGTGTAAGTACTGCAGTTGCATATTCTTCCACATACATCAGTGTTGAAACACTCAGTGAGGTATCAGTGCAGTAAAAAGCTCATAAAGGAACAGGTAAATCTGACTGCAGCTTCCTCATTTTAACATTTATCTGAGCAAGTGCCAGTGGCATAAATTGATCAAAAGCAGAAGTTGCTGGAAAAGCTCAGCAGGTCTGGCAGCATCTGTGAAAAAAAAATC